TGCTTGTATGCAGACGGCGAAAGAATACAAACAAGATATTTTTCATATAAGTTTTACTATATCTTAGAAACACCCACAGTTGTACAATATACTTTCTATTTTAGCTCAAGTAATAAAAGCAACAAGAGCTAGAACTGACATTTGCACTTGCTTTGATAAAGGACTTCATTAAACCCTTAACACCAGCAGTCCTGAGTATCTGATGCTAGCCTCTAACTGAATTTGGACTCTCGCTTACTGCAGACAGTAAGGGGTTAACAATCTTCCTTTACTAGAAGACTGAGAGACCACTAATAGATTCTGCTTCTTATTTGCCCTAAAGGCTGCCACAGTTCAACACGATTAGGATCCTGTCCACTTAAGCTGTAACTGCATCATAAGGAGGAATGTAGAAGGCAATGCATGTGTTCTTAGAGTACAGAAAGACTGTTGCTACAAGAGGACATTTTAGTCTGATCGAATACAGACTTCCCTGTACCAGTCTGTGGACTAGTTTTGCTCTATGGCAAATGCTAATTTAAAAAAAATTGAATACCTTAGATTTGCAGTGTGAATATGAATTATTTCCCTCCTTGTCCTAGGGCAGTTTTTTGGATGCAGTGGCTGATCCTGTGTGCACTTTTTTATTATTACGTTTTAACAAACTTTATAGTCCATTTTGTTTGTTTTCAAATAATTTTATTTTCTTTCTCTCTCTCTCTCTCTCTTTTTTTTTTTACCATCAATTACTAGGTTTGTTTCTTTTTCCGTAAGATGTAGGAGTCAGGAGACGGATCCTTCTCAATGGTGTATAATTTAGTATTATGTGCACTTGGTTTATGAGGTGGGAGTCTGATAAAACATAGTATTTGAACACTAACCATTTATTAGCTCTAAGAAACAGATTTATGACTTGACAACCAGACAATAACTCTGTGTTCTGATTTGCCAAAGAGGTCTACTCTGAGTTCAAAACACAGAGTAACGTACCCTTTCACAAATAATTTTGTTTACTGATGTGACTAGGTTTTAATAATAAACTTGATATATATGTAAATTTATTTTAATCTAATTTCATCTACCGAACCCTCCTAAAATGAGACTTTGTAGGTTGTTTTGTGTCTGATTTATAGACTTCTGCATTCTATTCCCAGATTGATTTCAAGGCTATAATTCTATCAGGATTTTCTACTGATGTCAAAAACACCACCACCGCAGATAGTGTTTTATAACTAGCATCACAAGAGAAATTAAATTACATCCCTTCCACCCTGTGCTGCTATATGTCCTTTGTTTATAATCTTTTTTTCTTTTTGTATATACAAGGTACTTCAGTTTCATGAGGGAAAAATCAACTCCAAAATCAATCAGGTTACCATGAAATCTGTTTTTGTCCCTTACTTCAACCCCTGTGTAGAACAGTAAAGGGCCAAAGTCTGCTCTGAAATACATGCATGCAACTTGTGTTAAAGTCAATGGGAGTTGAGTGCATGGATTAGTATGGAATTTTCACATGTAAAACTTTGCACCAGCCATTGTTATGCTCCCTATTAGGCCCTGATTTTGCAAACATGCACACTTAATCTAATGTGAATGTTCACATGCATACACCTACTTAAGAGCAGGGCTCCATGTTTGTTATGGAGATCGCTCAAGTCATGGATTCCATATAATTTTGCTACCTCTGTGACTTCTGCAGAAGCTGGTGTGGCTGACCCCAGGGCTACTTAAGCAGCTAGCCTCAGGGATAGCCTCACCAGATGCTGCTGGAGTGGTGCCGGGCTGAGCCCCCTTCTGCAGCTGAGTTGGTCCCAGCCAGCCAGCCCCAAGGACCAGTGAGGCCAGTCCAGGAGAGTGGGAACAGCCACAGCTTAGCAGCTCCTGGCAGCAGTGCTGTGGCTGGCTGGGGCAGCAGTGGACGGGCAGCCCTGGAGTCAGCTGCATCAGAGCTGCTGGAGCAGTGGGACAATGGGAGCAGCAGTGGGCATGCAGCCCCAAAGGCAGTCAGAGCAACCGCTGCTCAGTGGCCCCCGCGGTTGATGCTGCTGGCCCCCAGACCCTGTCAGAGCAGGGCCACCCAATTAGTCATCCCAGAGTGGAGGCTCTCCCAGATTAGCACCCCTTCCCGACCCCCAGCTAAGATTTAATCAGGGGTATTTAGTACAAGTAATGGACTAGGAATGTTAACAAACGTGGTTTTTTGTAAACATATAATCGCTGAATTTTTCAGTGGTTACACATAAGCCCGCTCCCCACAAGCAGAGGCTCCCACCTGCAGCAGTGGGGGAGGGAGCAGCTCTGTGGGAGCCTGCTTGAAAGCCAGTTTCCCAGGTGTATTGGCTACTGCCAGTCCCCCTCTGCCCCCGTGCTGCTGCCTCTCTATCAGAGGCAGCAGCATAGAAGGCAGAGGCGGCTCCACGGAGCCAGCATGCACGAGGAGTCAGAAGCAGCAAGGGGGGGCATGTAGTCATTAGAATGAACTGATCTCAGGCTTATCAGTTAATTGTGTAAACAAGTACACATTAACATCCTCATGATGGACAGGTCATGGCCCATGAATATTTGTTTATTCCCCATGACCTGTACATATGACTTTTACTAAAAATACTCCTGTAGCTTTACTTATAAGCTTGTATACAGATTCAGCCCTTTAATTTTTTGTGTGTGTGTCTATGAATGTATCTTCCAGGAAAGGCTATTACTTAAGCTACTCTGACACATCTCTATCTCAAATCATGAGGAAACCGATATCTCTCTTTAAAATATTTGTTTTCAATAATTCGTATATTTTAAATGAAAACAACACACACCCTACCCTTTCCTTGCCACATCCACAATGCCTCCTGTCCTAACTCAATTATACATCTTCACCTCCTTCCACCGTATCCTTGGGAAGCAGTCACATGGAAAAACAGCTGGGAAAGGAGAGATTTAGCCAGTTTATGTTAAACATTTCTGCATGTGAATTTCCTTTCCCAAGGTTAGCGTTGAAAGGAAGTGGAGCACTTTGCTGGAATTGTAGGAGCTAAGAATTTCTGTTGTATGCATTTGTGATGGTCATCATCCTGGTCAACACCCAAGGCCTGAAAACAGGGATCTCCTAAGGTGAAAGCAGGAATCTTTACTGCTGGAGCCGAACAGCCAGGACCTCTAGCTGAGAGCTGTGACAGACTCCCATTCTCTGTTGACCAGGCCCAGAAAGTGCTATGTATTATTTTCTCAGGAGGTTCTAACAGTTCTCTCATAGGTAACTCATGGTAGCACTTGGGAGGTCTACTACTCCACTATAACTCCACCAAAAATGTAATTGCTAAATGGGGTGCCACCATGTGCCCCCTCCCGGATCCTCCTCCTCGCACAGACACCAGTCTCCGCTGAATTCTCTTATGATGATTGAGTGGTTTCTCTCCCAAGAACTCATGTCCCTTATGCCACATTTCTGAACATTCTTTTAATAAGCTAAAATCAAATCCAAACATCACATTGTTTTTCATAGTTCCATATAAAACAAAAAGACACCGATCTCACAGTGAGGGCCTGGCCATCTTAACATAATTCTAGGATACCCCACCTACACAGACATAAGCAGCTGTAATTTACACCCAGCTCCAACAAAATGTACACACTGCATATAGTCCAAATTTAACCCCTTCTTGGGATCAGACTTTAACAATAAACAACACACAAAAAATTCAGTTCTAGCTTGCTCCCCAAGTTTGGCTGTTCCTAGAGTTTTCCAGCAAGACATTTCTGTTCTAGCCTCTTTGTCAAACAGAGAAATTCCAACCCCCTTTTAAATCTGTGGCAGGAGCAACATTCATCAGTAACTATGATTTCACAGTAGTTAACCTGCATCTTTATGCAGGGTTCAAGAACCTGTCATTGAGATGACTCAAAGGGGAGCCCTCATCCCTGTAGGTCCTGGAGTCTCCCAGTCTGTTACAATTAGGCTACGTCTACACTGGCAGCTTCTTGCGCAAGAACTCTTTTGCGGGAGAGTTCTTGTGCAAAAACTCTTCCACAAGAGAGCGTCTACACTGCCATGTGCTCTTGCGCAAGAGCTCTTCCAGAAGAGGGCAGTTTAGACAGGCAACATGAATTTCTTGCACAAAAAGCCCGTACAGTTAAAATGGCCATCAGAGCTTTCTTGTGGAAGAGAGCATCTATACTACCATGGATGCTCTTGCGCAAGAGCACACCTCTTGCGCAAGAGCACATGGCAGTGTAGACGCTCTCTTGTGGAAGAGTTTTTGCACAAGAACTCTTCCGCAAAAGAGTTCTTGCGCAAGAAGCTGCCAGTATAGACGTAGCTTTAGGGTACACAGATACTCTGTGGTTTAAAGTTTTCATCATAATAATGACACACGCAGTTCAAAGTAAAATATACTCTAAACTTGCAGGATGGGATTTTCTGAAGCCCTTATGATGGGTCTAACTCTGCTCCCACTGTAATCAATGGTAAAACTCCTACTGACATCAGTGGGACCTGAGTGAGGCCAACACTGAGTTCTTTTGAAAATCTTGCCTTAGACTCCTGACTCAATCAAGAAAAGTGGATCAACTAATGGACCCATACAAAAACTGACTCTTCAATGAGCCCAAGAAAAAATGGATATAACTAAGCAAATATTATATTCCTAAGGCCTGGTCTACACTAAAGGGGAAGGTTGACTTAAAATACACAACTCCAGCTATGTTAATTACGTAGCTGGAGTGGACGTATCTTAAATCACCATCCACACAGCGGGAGGCTGGCAGGAACAAACACTCCCATCAGCTTCCTTTACTCCCTGTGAGGAGAAGGAGTACCGGCGCCGATGGGAGTGCCCTCTCAGTTTGAACTAGACCCGCTAAATCAAACCCCAGAAGATCGACTGTGGCAGTGTTGATCTTCCGCATAGTGTAGACATGGCCTAAGATAATAGGAGTTCTTCATTTCTCATATTTGATTACAATAGTGAAGAACAACAAACAGGAATAATACACATTGTTATTAAAACATTTTTTTTAAAGTCTTTTCTGTTTGGAAGAATTCCCACTCTGTCCATCTGTACTGCCTGATCTAAATCTCTTGGGGAACCATGTAGCACCCAACCAGTAGTCATGCAGTCTAATCTGTTGATCCGATCTGTCAGTAACTTTAAAACGATGTTGTCTGGGACTAAAGGAGATAAAAAAATATTTTGTTTGTCAAACCTCAGCAGTAAGCAGATGGCAGAATGCTTCTTATTAGCCTATGAAGTGAACTTACATTCAAAAAAGTTATTAATGCTTGAAAGCTGTGAGCTTTTGGGGTAAGGACTATTATTTACTGTGTGTATTTATGGAGCTACAGTGGGGCTCCAAACTTGTGGACTCCAAGACAACTACAATATCAATAATAAATACTGACTATGTAAGCAAGGTGATTAATTTTTCTCATAAACAATTATCTATGTATAGCTAGATTATCTGTCTTTTAGCCTTCTACTGTGTGACATGACAACCTAAGAGCTGCATAGGCAATGATGTAAATTGGATTAAATACTATTTTGCAAGGAAAAAGTATTTGAACACATTTAATATAGCAGATCATCATGGTTCCTCTATGGTAGCGTGTATTGTGGTCTTATAATTATGATTATTTTCACTGGAAAGCTTAATTATTTTCTAACCTTTGAGTGAAAGATACATTTCCAAATCTGAAACAATTGAAAATTGTTGCAGTGTTGTCTTCAGCAGTTTGCAGTCAGAGTTCTAACTCCTCTGTTGCTGTTTACAACACTCTGATCAGTTTCACGACTGCAATTCAGAACCAAGTAAACCTTTGATTTATTTTTATAGACTAGAGGAGAAGGGAGGGATGGATCAGTTTTTGCTATACCCTTTATAATATAAAATGCGTCGATCAGGCTATTCCATCCTACTGACTTATTGAAGAATTACATTAGAGGTCTAAATAAGCACTATTGCCAAATTTCCAAAAGTGGATCTGATATATTAGGTTTAGAATCACATACCCATCTAGCCCCATGAAAATGGTTAGTGAGCATGATCAGAAACACCTACTAGGAGTTATTTTGTGAGCAAACATCTAAAACCATTTTTAAAAAGCACAGACAGTGCCTCCTCTTGTATTTGCACAGTGTCTGGCATACTGGGAGGTCCTATCAGAAACAAAGATGAATAATGGATTGCCACATAAATCCATAATGTGAAATGTGAACATTTCATTATTCATCGTGCCATAACATTTGCACGCAGCAGTACAGTAGGAAGTTTTGATACCAGAGTATGTGTTTCAGATCTGTAATGCTGGAACTCACTTTTGCAGCAAATTGACAGGTGCACACCTGTATTTTAACTGAGTATATTATCGTTGACATGATACTAACACAAGTGCTGGGTATTGCATGGCACACAGTATAGACCAGGTTTCTAGCAATTTTTAAAGAATGGAATCTCTGTTGCACACCTCCCACTTTCTATTCTCAAAATTTCAACATCACCCAACATGTTGAGGAGTCTTGTTTCTATTGATTTTTGTAAATCTATAATGGTAAACTTCAGTACATGCTGATTCTCTCATTTTCCAGAACCTCTGACACTCGGGCTATGTCTACATTGTACAGGTATTTCGGAATAAGTTATTCCAGAATAGTTATTCCGAAAGAGTTTATTTCAAAATAGCACATCTACACTGCAGGGAAGCCTCAAAATTAATCCAAGGCAGACTTCCCTAATGTAGATTTGCTATCTTGATTTAGAGTCCCAGGAGGAATAACTTAGAATGGTCCTGGTGAAGGGCTATTTCAAAATAGCAGAGTGGAGCATCTACACTCACCTTATTTCGAAATAGCTATTTCGGAATAGGTGTTGTTCTTCATAGAATGAGGTTTACAGAAGTTGGAATAAGCCATCTGTTATTTCGAAATAACGGAATTGCTGTGTATATGCTCGCATAGTTATTTCGGAATAACAGCCATTATTCCAAAATAACTTTGCTGTGTAGACATACCCTCAGTCATGAAACTCAGCACTTCTCCTTTTAGAATTGAATCACCGAGTTTATAGAATTGCTCTCAAGATTCAATGTACCAGCAAAAATGAAAGAAAACCATACAGAATTAATTAGAAAACTGATTAGTATATTGAGGATACACACTTCACACTAATAAGTTAAGGATAGCACTCTTCTCTAAAAAGCATCTGCTAAAAGAAAACTGCAATGGAATAGAATCCAATGCAGAATGACAAAATCAGAAGAAGTACTTCAATGAAATGCCAGAATGAAGAAGGAAGCAGCCAAATCGTCAGACTGAGGATATATAAAACAAGAGGGAGAGCAGAGCTGCATCCAGAGACATAAGAAATAGGAGATCCCCACTGACTAGCTTGGAGGGGGTGGGGGAGGATAGGATAAAAGTAAATTTATTTTTTCTTGGAGTTTCACAGATTAACACAAACCAGAAAAAGGCTCCTTACAGTGTTTCACTACTACTTCACAAAGGAATTACGTGAGACTGCTGACTCTTTGTTGG